ATACCTACGTTTTCATGTATAATTTGAGGAGGTTGAGTGGAAATTGAGCGAGTAGCAAGAAGTTGTTCAGACATGAAGAGAAAATTGGCAAAGTTTCACTGTCCACTCTGAGTTAATTGCATAGCAACCATAACAACGCGTGTATTTTGTGAAAAATCACAATTTTGCAACTGAAAACTTAAAGAGGCATTAAATGAAAACGGTAACAGATATGAAAAAGCTGAATCACACAGGAATAGCCCAATCATTTGAGAACGTTTTAAAGTTTGAATGGAGTTTCTATGTGAAAGTATGAGCATGTAGTTAAGTTTCAAAAACAAGCAAGTTTTAGCAGAATTGTGGAAGTTTTTCATTCATTTCAATGGGACAAATTAAAGGAAAAAAGTGTAATATTTTAAAAAGTGTAATAGCTATAACTACCAAAAGATATAGCACCCATCTCCAAAAAGAGGTGTTACTGCACAGTAATGATGGAGGTGATCTTTGCCGTAGAGTGCCTGTAGTGCTTGTTTTGCAAGCCTAATGCCGCTTCTCGCCATTTTTCTCCAGACTCGTTACTTGAGAGGCGCCACATTTCACCCATGAGCTCTACATGTCATCTCAATATTTAATTTCTCCATTTAGTTTCAGTGCCAGAGTGCACGCTGATCATTAGAGATGTCTCTGATGGGAAACGTTACTTCAAGTTTATTTATTTAATCAGCATCCACACAATTAAAGCGGCTATAGCTGAGTTGGGCACATAATTATGTTCATGCATTCATGCACAAATACAGAAAATGTATCTAAATTCACCTCTAAACATCGCTGTAAACAGACCAAGTGCTTTCGCTCTTGCCTGGCATTTTAAAATCCATCCATCCATTTTCTTCTGCTTATCCTGGGTCGCGAGGGCAGCAGCCCAGGCAGAGAAGCCCAGACCTTCCTCTCCCCAGCCACCTCCTCCAGCTTATCCGGGGGAACACCAAAGCGTTCCCAGGCCAGCCGAGAGATATAATCTCTCCAGCGTGTCCTGGGTCTGCCCTGGGGCCTCCTCCCGGTGGGACATGGCAGTCTCTCTCTCATATTTTAGGAGAAAATTGAAAATTTAGGAGAAAACCACCACCATCATCGCCCAACATGATGCATTTTTGAAGTTTGACAATTTTGCTTAATGAATTCAATTTTTTTAAAGTTTTACAAACACTTTTATTTTATTTTCACAGTGAAAAAAACAATCATGTGACGTATGAATGAAACTGAAGGAAAGACTATGTCATCTGCTGTTACGTATAATCATATTGCTGGTGAAACGCTTTCGTGTTCTCCACTTTTCTGACATTTCACTTAATTCATTTAAATTCTCATATAAACAATGCAAAGATTTCAGAAAGTTTCACGTAAACACAAAACTGCATCATGTCTGTGTTTACACAAAATATTATATGTCTTACATAAAACCCCTGAGTTATCAAACAGTTTGCGTGGCACACAGCTCTTTGAGAAGACTTATGTTCTGATATTTTAGTATCAGATTCGCTATCAGAAATGTGTGATGTAACATTGCTGCCTTTCTCGCTCCATTGCAGTGACATTATTTAATCTCTGAGCTCAGACCCGTGGGGGAACTCTAAGTTCCAGTCTACCTGAGGGAATCACTCACTTTAAACTAAGTCGTGTACATTTGTACATTTTGAGCTCCAGCAGATTTTCTGTGCAGACAGACTGATCTTTGTACATCATGTGACAAACAGAAACAACTGTTCATCTTGTCCAGTTTTCCTTTAAGTGAAGTACTTCATGTACTGGAACAGTTTCACTGGTGTTACGGCCCTAGCAGGGCCTCCTCCTGAAGGTGCCTGTGTGGGCGTGTCCCACCACCTCTTCTGCCTGAGGTGCCACCTTTCCCTGTTACACAGCTGACTCACATCAGTAATTAAAAGTATTTAAGCCCAGGGAAAGGTGAGCTCTGGGCCAGAGTGCCATTAGTGTGGTTACAGCTTGTGAGCTGAGTGTTTGTTGTGTTTGCAGCTAGTGAGTTGTGCTTTTGGTGGTTTTCAGCTAGTGAGCTGCTTTTTCTTTTTGGCTTACGTTTTACTTTATTGACCAACGCCTGAGTTTTGTTTGTTTTCTTAAATGGTAATAGCGGCTTGTCTGTCTCTTTTAGTTAGTATAAATAGAAACTTTAATAAAACTCTAACCCTTTTGCCTCCTTGACTCCTTTTTCTGACCCGGTCACTTTTGTTACTTCCCCCTCCCAGCCTAGACCCCTCAGGGGAACGTAACAAGTGGGGGCTCGTCCGGGATCGTTGAAAAGGGAGTTTTGAGTTGGAATTGGTTTTTGATTATCTTGCTGTTTTCACCTTTAGAGATTCAACTTCCCAGTTAAGTTAGGTGAGTGTCCAGCTGAGCTTATTAAGTTCTTCCTTCGGGCACTATTTTGTTATTTTGCCTTTTTTATTTTCGGAGTAATCCTGGGCGGAGATTAGTTCCCTGTTGGGGGTAGGCAATTCAGGGCTCCGGTCGCTGAAGTTTCACCTTTCAAGTTGCCTCGAGCCCAGCACGCTCCAGAAGATGGGTAAATTTTGTTGTGCTTAGGAACTGGGTAGGTTGTATTTGTTAATGTGTGTGTAGCAAAAGGTAAGTTGGTCAAGAAGAGTAAGTTGTTCGGTTACCATTAATTGTTGGCTAGCCTGTGAGAATTGGCACAGGTGTGTGGTGGTTTTCTTCAGGCTGAAATGGCGTTCCAGTTGAATCAGCTGGAGCTGACGAGCCCTCCCCGCCTAGACCCCTCAGGGGAACGTAACACTGGTATCAGCAAGGGTGGACTTACTCCAGGCCAGGAATTTGACAGCAAAGGTGAAGACTCAATGTCAGGAGTGAGATATGAACCCACGCCTCCAGAGGAGACTGTGACCTGAAAGCAGCTCCTTAGACCGCTCGGCCATCTTGACACAATTAGCCCACATCGAGCTGAAGAATCGTGCACAGCTGCTGATTTCAACTCAACATTCCTGCTGAGTATATAGAAAATGAACAAGCGTGTTATTAAAAATCATCCATGGCGTAATGGTTAGCACTCAGGATTCTGAATCTAGCAATCTGAGTTCAAATCTTGGTGGAGCCTGATTTTTTTTTTTTTTTTTTTTTTTTTTTTTTGGGAGGTCGGGGAAACCATGTCTTCTCTGACACATTGAAATTGTGTTTTCAGTTAGAGTTGTATAAAATCAAGCAGCTGACTCTGACGTTCATGCAAATTTCTTTCGAAATGAAATTTCCACTGGTGTCCGCGAAAAGCACGAGGCATCGTCACGTGACTTAAGGTTATGCACGTCATAGTCTGTACATCTGCGTGACAATGTATACACGTGTGGTTTGTTCACCAGCAAAATGGGTAAATGCCATCACTTTAAAAAAAAAGAGGATGTGGTTTGAAGTCAAGAAATGAACTGTTTATGTCACAAACAACCACGAACTATGTGAAGTGATTGTTTAAATCTGGATTTTAAACAAAGAGAAGAACAATATAAAAGCACTTAAAAGTAAGAGTTTGAACTGTACATTCGAGAATTAATTTTAAAAACATTTGGACTCTACTTGTGATTCCAGCTCTCCGCTAATACTTTTAAATTCTCCATAATTATGCTTTGGGTAAAGCTTTAATTTGACTTGATTTCCCAGCTGCACTTGTCCAAGTTATGACTCCAACTTTGCTCTTTAAGGTTTGTAAAAAAATAATAAAAATAATTTTGGAATGACATATATAAAGCTCTCAATACAGTTTTCTAACAACCATTAATAAAGGACCAACAGTGAGCCATTTTAGGAGTCTTACCAAATGGTTTTGCGGGAAATGATAAAAAGTATCTCTTAAGAATCTTGTTTACAGCAGCACTAAAGTGTATCACCATTAAATGGCTGAATCTTGACCCACCTTCATATAATATGTGGCTTGATAAAGTAAGAAAGATTTACCAGATGGAGGAAATAACATCTGCTCTGCGGATTCAGAGAGAATTGTTTACTGAGCGTTGGCGACCCATACATGCTTTACTGTTTCAATAATTTAGCACAGGTCTGTTTCTTTTTGTTTATTTATGGCTATTAAGATTGTCACATGTTATTTAGTATTACATTAAGTTTTGGGGTTTTTTTTCCTTCTTCTTGTTTGTTTGTTTGTTTGTGTTTTGTTTTGTTTGGCTTCCTAGTATTGTTTTGTGTTTCCCTATTGCAGTTTTTATTTTAATCTGTACTTCTGCATTGCTATTCCTGTAACTGTCCTACTTGCGAACATTGACAAGTACAAGTTGCAATGTTGTAAATTATAATAAAAACTGAGTTTAAAAAAAATTTTTTCACTTAATACGCTTAAATTCTAATTTAAGCAATAAAAAGCTTTTCAGAAACATTTACATACACAGAGAGCTGCATCACGTCTCTATTTGCACAAAATATTACATCACTTAAATTAAACTCCTTAATTATCAAACACTTAAATGACTGAATGGTAAACAGCTCTTTGAGAAGTGATGTTGTGATATTTCAATATCAGATTCCCTTCAGAAGCCTTTAGAAATAATGTAACATCACTGGCTTCCTCGGTCCAGCGACATTATTTAAGGTCATTTACGACCTCGGACTCGTAGTCTGCCTGGAGAAATCACTCACTTTAGACTACATGGTGTACATTTTGTACTGTGATCTCCAGCAGATTTTCTGTGCAGACTGTGATCAGATTACTTGCTGCTGCTGATGATTCGAAAGTTTTCTGTGGATTTAGACTTCTATATTCTTCTGCTTCAAACCATTGGTCAGTGGTCAAACACAGCCTGCTGAAATTCTGATTTTACAGCGGATCTTGTGGGCACTTGTGGGAAGTTGTTTTGCTAGAGCAAACTGAAAAACTCTCAAATGACACGACATTCAGGTGGGAAGGAGAAAGGACTCACATGATCCAGCCAATCCATCCATCCAATAAATAGACATCTGACAATCTGTTTGAAAGATTTGGGTTATGAGAACCCAATAGACAACTCACTGGGTAAGTCAGATCTTTCTTTTTCTTGTTTTTTTGTCTGTCCTGCATGTAGGTTTAGGCAAAAATAAATAAATGAACAAAACACATAAAAACAATACAAGTTTCCTGTTTCCAATAAGAAAATCCAGCAGAGACCAGAAATGAACTTCTTAACTCTTAATTGAACTTAACAGAGTTTAACTCTTCTGTTTATTATTGTTGTTGTTGTTATTGTCATTGTTATTATTATTATTATTATTATTGTTGTTGTTGTTGTTGTTGTTAATCATATATTTTGTTAAATTGCTGTGTGGTAGAGAGTGCCGCGACGGACCGAGTTCGATGGCGTTCCCTTGTCACCCGATGTGCCAATCGGCACGGGAGGATCCAAGTCTAAGTAAGAGAGTGTAGAGATTACTTTGTGTGATGATGAGGAAAATCTGGACCCAAAAGCAGATTTCTGAGGGAATTGTTCCAGATGGCTGATTTGCCCTCTTGCTTCCCATCTACAAACTGTCCCACTGCCATTGAATCCTCTATTTTATTTCTCTGCAGATTTCCATGAGCCGAGTGAAATATCCAACTCTGTGAATCGCTCTAAGGACTTGCCGTCACTGAGAACAACATTAAAGAAGGATTTAACACAAGCAGCAAGTTCACCTGACATGAAGCCACAAAGCTGCTTTGAAGAGTTTACACCTATCATCACTGCTGATGACTCTGAAGATGGAAACTACCTGTTCCAGTGCTCCAGTGCAGGCCTGTACCAGTGCAGTGTGACCGGCCTGGTGTTTGACATGAAGGCAGAAGGAGACGTGGTTTACAGGACTGTCCCTTGGAACAAGAGGCTGCTGGCCCAACACCACAAGAAGCCTGCAGGACCCCTGTTTGACATCAAATGTCAGCAGCAGTCTGTGCGTCAGCTTTATCTCCCACACTGTGAGCTCATCTCCACAGGTGGAGGTCAGTTCTTGAAGGTCGCACATGTGAAGGATGAAGGCATTGAGTTCATCCGCCCTCATCAGATAACAGAAACTCATGTTGTTATAAACATCACAGGGTTTTCTGGTTTTGGTATTGTGAAGGATGAAGACTCTCCCGCTGACCCAATCCAAGCGATGATTCTGCTCTTCTACAAACCTCCAGTTGATCCTCATCCCAGGTCTGTCCTCAGTGTGCTGTTGGTGCCGAGGACTGTAGTGATTCGTCATGTTAAGCACACCAGGAGTAAATTAATTGGTGAAGAGATGTATATAGACATACCCTTAAGATGTAGTCTGTTTCCAAAGCAGGTTTACAGTCTGTCCACTGTTCCTGACGATGACCTGATTGTAGTTCAACCAAATGAGGCAGAGTTTCATGGAGAGTATCTTAACAGCTCAGTTCCATCATTCCAGGTGATTTTAAAAACAATCATTACAGATATTAACCTGAGTGTGATACACCAGGGTAGCTCCAGCTGTATCTGGGAAAGAGAGGTTTGTCTTTTGCCCAACAGAGTGAGAACATTGAGTCTCCCTCCAAATGAGAAGCTGTTAAATGTACGGAGCTCCATTATTAAAGGGATATCAGGACCTGTTCTCAGCAGTCTGATGGACAAACTGCTGGAGGAAAGAGTGATAACTGATGCTGAGAGGGAGGAAGCAATCGTAATACAAAACAGAAGAGACAGAGCTCGTTTTGTTATCGACACTGTGAGAAACAAAGGTGAACGTGCTACTTCACAGATGATTGAGTCTCTGTGTGAACTTGACTCCTTCTTCTGTGAGTACACTGGGCTGATTTGAGGCATCTGGTAAATTTTGCTGAATTTGTCTTCAGGCTTCAGTTACAAACATCAACATCTTAGTTTGATCGAAATAGGACTGCTCCAGCTCTTTTTGATCTTTAAGCAAAGTTGAATCCAGCTTTTTTCTCTAGACTGAAACTGGCTATTAATATTAATGTTACATGGCTGATTACAACAATTAACATATAATAATAATATCTTTAGTTTAAACTGAGATTTCCTTTGACTGGATGTAGTGAGTAAAAAAAGTGCAAACACAAACCACATTTTATCTTCATAATTTGAAACAGCTTTTAACAGAATTGTTAATGTGAAATACAAGATTATAAAAAAGATTTCCAACAGTTAATCCATTATTTTAGTTTTTTTAAAAGTAAATGTCTGCACTTTAACCTCATATTAAACACATATTTGCAACTTTAATGTGTTTTAGCTAAAAAAAAATAAACTAAAATTGTTATTGTGCAGTAATTTCCAGATGTATCTGTATATATTTTATCCATCTCTGTTGTGTATTTGTGGATTTTTTTTAATGAGGCTAAAACAAACAGCAGGAATTTGATCTTGTTGGCCCAAAATGATCTGATGTGATTGCTTATTGTTGTCAATTCTTAAAATATTTTATATTTGCTAAAGATTTGTTCACTTTATGATTCAGTATTCACCGTAAATTTGACTTGAATCCAACTTTTTTTGAGTACTAAATGCTATGTATTGTCTATCTGAATCGATCGCCCTGTAATTAAAAAGAAAGAATGAAAATAAATTACTTGTGCATGTAATGAAGTTTGGCTGAGTTTCCTCACAATGACACTGAAGGCCTTCACACGCTCGACCAATGTGAACATTTCAGGTGTTAAAAATGCAACATGACGGTTCGTTATGTGGCTCTGAATCTCTCTAAACTATTAGAAACAGCAAGACGAAGACTGATAAGTTTCTTAGCAGCATCTTTAATCTCCACACAACAAAAGCAACACTTCCTGTGTGCAGCCCCCATGAGACTTCGCTAGCCAATCAGAAGCCAGGAAATCCTAGACTCAGGTAACTGCAGCATTCAGTACGTACTTATTACTGCTTTGAAAGTGCATGTGTAAACATTCGAATATGTAAATATGTAAATATCAAAACATGTAACCATCAAATGTAAAAATAAAATGGTTACATAACTAGCTCTGTAATCCTCATAAACACTCCATTGTTTATTAAATGACATATAAATTTACTTCCAAACTTTACAAAATTATTTGTCTGTTCTTCATGCAGCCGTTCACACCAACTGCCTGCCACCAACACCAACCAAGCTCAATTTTCCCAGCTTAACAGATCTCATCAATCAGATCACTGCACAAGTGAATCAAAATGTGCATCAACACTGAACTTACAACGAGAAGAAACAGTTAAATAACACAATTTATATCAGACACACAGCTAAACGCTGCTCCAGGTCATCTCTGAAATTATTTCTCTGCCTCGTTAGATGTGATCTCAACTTTGCCAAGAAGACTTCAAAGTGTCCCATTAACACTTAAACCCCCGCGGAGCCTGAAAGCAGTTTTGATTCAGCTTCAACTCCTAAATAAAACTATGAACTTCTCCCACCTGCTGCCTTCTACTGGTTATCAGATGAACGCTCAAATAACAGACACTCCAAATTGCCAAAATAACATAATACAGAAATGAAGAAAACCAATATAGAACAAGAACAGAATCCCTTCACAAAACCTGAATGAAATCCATCCATCCATTTTCTTCCGCTTATCCGGGGTCGCAGGGGCAGCAGCCCAGGCAGAGAAGCCCAGACCTCCCTCTCCCCAGCCACCTCCTCCAGCTTATCCGGGGGAACACCAAGGCGTTCCCAGGCCAGCCGAGAGATATAATCTCTCCAGCGTGTCCTGGGTCTGCCCCGGGGCCTCCTCCCGGTGGGACATGGCAGTCTCTCTCTCATATTTTAGGAGAAAATTATGCAATTGTTCAAAAACATCAAGTCTGATGAACAAGTGTGGAGAGGTTGTGAGAGTCTTCAGTAATAAGTCTACAAAGGTGTACAAAATAACAACAACCACCACCATCATCGCCCAACATGATGCGTTTTTGAAGTTTGAGAATTTTGCTTGATGAATTGAAAAATAATAAAAGTTCTCTAGACACTTTTATCATTTCGTTTGAGAAAATAACAGAAAATAAAGAAGCACAATATTAACATATATTTTCATTTTTATTTTCACAGTGAAAAAAACAATCATGTGACTTATGAATGAAACTGAAGGAAAGACTATGTCATCTGCTGTTGATGACAGCCCACATCGAGCTGAAGAATCGTGCACAGCTGCTGATTTCAACTCAACATTCCTGCTGAGTATATAGAAAATAAACAAAAATAAACAAATCTATTAATAAAAATGATCACAAAGAAAATGTACTGAACTTAATTAAAAGTTTGTGTTAAATTTTGTAAGTTGGACAGAGACAAATAGATAAGTTGTGTGTGGACAGTGAATGATTAGATGTGATCTTCAGTGATGGAAGCGAAAGTGTAAGCAGGTATAAAATTGAGGTAAAGAAGAGATTCTGGGTTCTTCACTTTTGTCTTCTGTGAGATGAGCAGTTCAGAAGATTGGATCTAAGAGGTTCACAGTTGAAAGTTCAAGCAGAACTTTCAACTGTTTGTCCACATGTTGGCCTATGGCTCCCCCCATAGGCCAACATGTGAATTGATTTCCACTGAATGGCAGCTGCTTTCCTGTTGGGTGATTATCATCAACATATGATGAGCTCATCTTTGAGTCAAGTAGTGCTCATCCTTTCTCCATCCTCTCCTCACCAAAGATAAGAACAGAATCTGCATTAACTCAGAGTAGGTTAGTTAGATAAGTGTAGTTTACATAATCTGATTTTGTTTTTGTGATTTTACTTGATTTTGCTTTGCACCTGTATAAAATCAAGCAGCTGACTCTAATGTCTGCCTTTAGAAACACTTGTGAATCACTATGTGGTACTAAACAGCTGTCTGAAATTCAGCTGCACCCCACACAAAGTTACACAGTGGGGTGTAAGTTGAAGTTTTAAGCTCCACACATATTAAATCTGTAAGCATTGTGCTTTGCTCTTCTTACAGTTGTGATGAAATACACTTGAAATTTGAGTTCATCAGGAGGTTTCTGGAAACTTGTGTAAGTAAGTAAGTAAGTAAAATTTTATTTATATAGCACATTTATAGATAAAAGATCACAAAGTGCTTCACAAGGTATAAAACAAAAACAGTCAAAAGTTAACAAAATGCAATTTAAAAAAGATGTGTTTTTAGCTGTTTTTTAAAAGTAATCACTGAGTCTGCAGATCTTAAGTTCTGAGGAAGAGAATTCCACAGTCTGGCAGCCACAGTAGCAAAAGCTCTATCACCCTTGGTTTTCAGTCTTGTATACTGAATAACAAAGTAGGCCCTGATCACAAGACCTCAGGGACCTACTAGGGGCATAGGGCTGTAAAAGTTCAATGATGTACGCTGGTGCTTGTTCTTGAAGAGCCTTAAATGTCAGAACCAGAATCTTAAAATGGACTCTGAATTCAACGGAGAGCCAGTGCAGCTGTATAAGCAACGGTGTTACATGAGAGTATTTCGATGTTTTTGTCAGAAGCCTTGCTGCAGCATTTTGGACAATCTGCAGACGCTCCAGGGAGTTTTTGTTTAGACATGTAAACAGTGAATTACAGTAGTCCAATCGTGATGAAATGAATGCATGAATAACAATCTCCAGTTCAGTATGAGATACTATGGGGCTCAATTTAGAAATGTTTCTTAAATGATAGACGCAGGACCAAACCAGAGATTTAACGTGGACATCCGGGGTAAGAGCAGAATCAAAGGTTACCCCGAGGTTCCTGATAGACGATTTCACAAATGTTGAAAGAGGACCAAGAGCATTCATTATGTCAGGTACATGTCTGTCTGGAGCACATACAAGGACTTCAGTCTTTTTTTCATTAAGTTGGAGGAAGTTGTCAGCCATCCAACCTTTGATGGTTTCTAAGCACACATTTAGAATCTGCACTTAGAAACATCTTCAGGTTTAAAAGATATATATAGCTGGATGTCGTCTGCGTAGCAGTGGTAGCAAATGTCCTCAAAGGGGCTCAAAATATGCTGGAGAGGAAGTAGATATATTAAAAACAATAAGGGCCCCAGCACAGAACCTTGTGGCACACCATAGGACAGGGACGTGGAAGATGACCTGTACTCAGAAACTGCCACAGAAAAGTATCGTTCATAGAGATACGAGGAGAACCACTCTAAGGCAGACCCAGATACACCAACCCAGTATTTCAGCCTTTCAAGCAAAATGTAATGGTCAACGGTGTCAAAGGCTGACGTGAGATCCAACATTAAAAGAACAGAACACTTTCCTGCATTGTTTTGCATCAGAATGTCATTGGAAACTCTAAGAAGGGCTGTTTCAGTAGAATGAGCTCCACGAAAGCCAGACTGAAATTTGTCAAAGATATTATATTTGTCTAAAACTGCTGTAAGCTGCTTCGCCACAATCTTCTCTAAAATCTTAGCAATTAACGGTATTTTTGAGATTGGTCTGTAATTGCTAGTGAGAGATGGGTCCAGCATAGGCTTTTTTAACATGGGATGTATAACAGCAGTTTTAAAATAAGCAGGGACTTTACCAGATCCCAGTGAGGTGTTAATTATGGTGAGCACACAGGGACCAATAGAGTGGAAGAAATTTTTGAATAACGATGCGGGTAAAATGTCGAGTGAACAGGAGAATGCTTTTGTTGCATTAACTATTTTTTCCAGCTCTGATAGTGAGACGGGTAAAAAGCATTCTGAAACGACAGGCCGAGCTGGCATAGGAACTGACAATGCAGATGCTGATGGGGACAATTTTTTCCTTACATTACTAATTTTTTCTAGAAAGAAAGAAAGAAATGTTTCGCAGTCTTCATTAGAAGAAATAATGGCAGCAGGTGGAGCAGGAGTAATAATATCAGTAATAGTGTCAAATAATACCTTAGGATTATTTGACACGTATGAGAGTTGTGCACCGTTCATCCCTGAATAGGACATTTATTCAGGTAACTTTTGGATTTTATGTTTGCATCTTATAATCACAGGTTTGAATGACTGTGTTGAGATGGCACGATACCATTTTTTTAATGTCAAATACGATATCATAAATTTGGATATCTGCCGAGATATGAATCTGATATATAGTGTGTTTTTTAATCAATAAAACTTTTTTATATCTTGCTACATTTTGTATAAGGTAGACTGTATAACTGCATCTCTACCAGTTTCTCTGCACTCCAGCCTCTTCTGTTCCACGTGAAGGGATTTTCCTTAATGCAGGAGAAATTATCTCCACGAAAAGGAACAGTTTCAGCCATCGCTTTCCAGTTCTCAATCAATTCTACCCCCAGTTCAAAAATATGTATAGGAAAATTTCCCCAATATAATATTATTTATAAATACACCCGTCTAGCGATTAATTGCATAAGTAATGGAAGCATGACCTCACAGCAGAAGCATATTCCATAATGTGTTGTACAGTATTATATGCATATTATATGTAACGTGGTGTTTTCCAGTTATTGTATTTACCAACATCAAGAAGTGAAAAGCAAAGAAAGACCACACAATGGTGCATGTTTAAACAAGGAGAGTTTACTGGTCAAAATTATTTATTACACAAATAAACCACATTTTTAACCCCAAAAATACACGTTCAAAGCAACACAACGTTGGCCCAATATCAGACAAAATTCCACTCTGTAGAGTGAGTGGGCAATCATAATGAAGCAGTTGGTTTTATTTTGTGGATTCAAGCTGCTCTTCATATTTTTGGCCACCAGATGTCACCTGAGAGGACTGTGTTGAAAAGCTTCGAGTAATGAACCCTTTTTCAATACAAGCTTCGGAAAGCTTCGTTTGGCCATCACTAGGCGGGACTATTCATTTCCGGAGTTTTTGAAGAACTGGAAAAGATTACAAACGTGTATGTCTTTACCTGAGTAGCGTCGATAGAGTCACTAGGACTTTTTAAATTTATTTATTTAATTATCTGAATCGAATAAGGAAATGCCAGATTGGATTTAAAATGGGACCTTCAACAGCAGGTACGGAAACAAGAGAAATTGTATCAAAGTCTTGAAGGAAGGGTCTAACTGGGGTTTGTTTACACGGATTACCTGTAGACCTAATTATTTCAATTCGGCCTTGATTAATCCTAACATTAAGATCTGGGGCCCGTTCTTCGTACCTCGCTAAGTAAGTTAGCTGGATTAGATTGTTGACGATTTCGCCTGATCTTGGATCGTTCGGTTCTCCGAAGCTCATCCGGGACTTGCTGTCATAGCAACAGAGCCGTAAGCGTAAACCTGCTCGGGAGCAGGTTTACTTTATGTAAACAGGATTAGATCGCGGCCACGCAGGTATGTCCGCTTCATTTATACGAAAGCAACAGCGATATTCCACCACTGTTTCACCATAAATAAATATTATCAATGTAACTAAAGATAATGC